TTTCCATATCCTTAACTACTTTTTTTTTGGTGGTACCCAGGATTGAACCCAGAGGCACTTAACCACTGAGTCACATCCCAGCCCTTTTTATTTTTTATTTAGAGACAGGGTCTTGCTAATTTACTTAGGGCCTTGGTAAGTTGCTGAGGCTGGTTTTGACTTTGTGATCCTCCTGCCTCAGCCTCCTGAGCTTCTGGGATTATAGGCACGTGACACTGTGTCAAAATCACCAACATTTAGTCTTCTTAGTCCTATCATGCTTTAATGATGATGATAATAATAGCAACAACAATCATAATATCCAACATTTACTGTGTCAGTCACTCTTGCAAGCACTTTACATGAACCCATGAAATCTTCATACAAACCCAATGACATAGGCACCTCACCTTTCAGATGAGGGAATTAAGGTACAGAGAGAATAAGTAAATTGCCCAAGATGACACAACTAAAAAGGTCAGGATAAAGATTTGAATCTAGAAATTTTGACTCCAAAGTCTGCACTCTTGAAAATTAGTTAAAGGTGAATCTAATGCTAAATGCCCACATTCGATGTTTTTGACCCATTTTCTCATCTTATCTGACAAAAGTTAGTGGTGAATTAGTTGGCATTTTATCACCTTCCTCTTAAAATAAGGTGAGTAAGCCATAGAGAGGTTAAGTAACTTACTCAATATCACATGGCTTATTTGTGAAACTAAGATGCTAGTCCAGATCAAGCATGTTTAGTCCCTTAGTTTTTTTGAACAGAACGGAGATTCAAGCTGATTCAGAGGCAAAAGCAGAAGGGAAAATAGTACTCATAAGCAGTTACTATCATTAGGGGTAGAAGCTCTAAGAAATGGGGTCATCTTAAACTGGTGTACTCCCAATAACACTGGCTTGCCAGCATTTGCAATTACAAAGTGAGTCAGGAGGAAATTGATGCTGTGGGTGACTTTTGGGCAAATATGAGAAGCAGTATCCAAAGAAGAATTGTTTTCCATTGGATTGTCACCAGAAGTTGGCACTGGCACCAAAACACAAGCACTAAATTTCCTTTAACATGGTTTCCAATTGCACTTTTGTTTTAAAAAATGAAGTTTTACATTTTGTATTTTTGTCTTTTTTCAGGTTGAGAAATTAGTGGCACACTTCTTGAGCAAGGTACTTCTCTCATGAACAAAAGATGAGGATGTCTGGGAGAGGACAAATTTGGAAAACATGAGGTAATAACTATAATTGAGGCTAAAACTTATAAGCTTAAGTTTGATTGTTTTCTTTATCAAATTTACAAAGTTGATGCAGCAAGTAAGATTAAAGTGTACTGTCTGTCCAAGTTCTATTCTGGAATGTTCCACATGCTTGCTGTGAAACTTTAATTAGTTGCTTAATATATCTCTACCTCACTTTCCTCATCTATAAAATGGGCATCATAGTACCTATCACAGAGAATTGTGGTGGGGATTAAATGAGGTAATATGTAAAGAATACTTCAGAGACCTGCGACCGACAGGCAGAACACGCCCGGCAGCCCGCCGGCATGGTAGTCACGTCACCCCAATTGTAGGAGGGGCAGAGCAGAGCCACCGCACACGCTGCAAGGTATGCAGACCTGTGACCCATCGGCAGAACATGCCCAGCGACCTGCCAGCGTGGTAGACACATCACCCCAATTGGAGGAAGGGCCCAGCTGCCACCTACAAGGTAGGCAGACGGAACGTCCTGGAGAAGGGGTCCACTGGCCCACCGGCCTAGTTGAAGGATCACCCCAATTGGAGGAGGGGCACAGCCGCCACCCGCGCCTGCAAGGTAAGCAGAACTGCAACCTGGAGAACAGGCCCAGCGGCCCGCCAGCATGGTAAACAGATCACCCCAATTGGAGGAGGAGTACAGCTGCCGCCCGCCCCTGCAAGGGAGAGTTTGCAACTATACAAGAGCAATATAAAAATATAGGGGGAAAATTCAATAACACAACAGTTTCACCAAGCAGAAAGAAACTCGAGAAATATGAAAAGACAAGGAAAGAAAGGACCACAAGCAATGCAGGTCAACTCAACTTTA